GGCTCCCTTGCAGCAGCCAAGGCTTGTTGTAGTCACTGATGCTGCTGTAGGAACATGGCAGGCTCCAAGCCTGGCTTTGCTGTGGCCTCCTTGTTCCCATGTCTGACACAGTTTTGTTCGGAAGCTKTAGCTTGGTGTAGAAGTGCATGTGTGCGTCTCCACAGGTCAGCCAGGTCGGAGGAATTACCTTCCTTCCCACTCCTGAATTTTATGTAGGATCCTATAATGGTGAATACCGGGACAGTTACTCTCTAGTGCAAATCTTCTAATAAAAGAGAGACTTCAAGTTTAAATTCTGTAAAGCATTATTGTCGGAAGAGACGGGGAAGTTTATGGGGTGCCACCCTAACCGCCAGAGCCTTAAGTATGTGCTCATGAGGGTGGATATGAAGTTAAAATTGTACCAACCAATACAGTTTTATATTTGACAAAAATTGGAAGCTTTTGAGTTAAATGACTTATGCTTCTGCTCCTTAAAAAAAAAAAAAAAAAAAAAAAAAAAGAGTAAAGATAAAATCTAAGGCCAATAGACCTCTTAGAAAGCACTTGATTTCACCTAAAAATCTAGTCACATAGTAGGTATTTATCAGAGACTAACACCACTGGAGGAAATTGGAATTACATAAATTGGATGCGTGTTTTTATCTTATTAATGTGTTATTATTTTGCTTAAATTATACATCATATATCCCCTTTGGACTTCTCTAAATGATGTTCCCCATATTTAAAGATTAAAGAGCATTAAGCGATCCCTCAGTTTGGAACAGTTAATCCTTCTGTACCTGCCTCTCCAGATAGATCTTTCCTAGGTTCAGAAAACCTAGGAAAGGAGCATATGCCTGCACTTGGCTACGATTTTTTTCTTCTTTTGATTGCTTAAGAGGGCTGCTCAGCGCAGAGTAGCAGCTTATAGGAACACATCATCCTGCCTTAATTTAGCCCCATTAAAGCACTTCTCTTTTTATTACTTATTTATTAGTGCTCCTATTGAGCTAGAAWGTTTGAGTTCTGATTAAGTTTTAAGGTAGTTTGCCTCATGTTGTAGCCATAGGATGTTGAGCGGAGTTGTACCCTGATCCTATCCCGTTTCCGTTCTGGGACAACGGGGAGGGTGATGGYGGTTTTGCGCCTGCTCCTCCTCTGTTTGTAACCCGTTTGGGTGAGGCGCTTTGGTGCTGCGTGGTGGGGACGGCAGGAGCAGCCGCGGGGGCTCCACCCCAGCACTGGCACCCATGGGGACCCGGCGTGCTTGGCAGCAGGTGTCCCCGATCCCTGCTCGGAGCGAGAGGCTCCCTCGCTGTTTCACTGCGATCCCCATGCTCAGTGTGGTCTTAGCTTGGTGGGGGGCAGAAAGCCCGTTGTTCGAAAGGCTCTTGGAAGCCACCCGAATGTGTGGGTGTCTAGATAGGTCTGAAACAAGTGTGCCCCAAAATCTTCTCTGTCAGTGAAGAAACAATTAATTAAACAAAGRTTTTTCCCAAGGTGCTGCTGAAACACAGAATTGTTAGGGTGTCTATGGATTTGCAAGGAATGTTAAGCTGTTATTCAAGTATAAGGTATTCGTGCCATCTTGCTTCCATCCCAAACAAGCCAGGTTTGGATAAATCCTGGCAAATGSCATTTGCCATCTCACCTTTGTCCATCCCATCCAACTTTAGTCTCAGGTGGAAAACTGAGAATCTGGAAAACTGTYGTCCTCCTCAGCACCGAGTTCTACGTGCACGTGCTTGGGGTGTTAGCTCTTCAGTAAACCATCTGACTTAGGAGATAAGGCTGTGTTAGATTTGTTGGTTTATTGGTTTTGCTGCTCTACATTCAGTCTTTACAGCATGGGCACAACGCAGCTCGCGTGCTAACTTGGCAGGACCCATAGACGCGGTAGCTCCGTCCCACAACCCAAAACATTTGGGTGCTGGTGGAGCAAGGAGAAAATTGCGTGGCTGTTGCGTTTCAGGCTGTTGTACAAAGCTAGGAGACAACAGGAAACAAGAGCTTACAAATAGAGCAGATTTAGTTATGGGAGTTGGAGACAAAATTAAGGTGATTTCCAAAGTATTGGGGTTTTTTTGGAGTCAACTTTTGGGTCAAACAGCACACTGAGCAATTCAGGAAAGGATTATAAAGCAAAAGAAAGGTCAATAAAAAARAAATGTAATAGGTACTTAGCACAAGTTTTATATGGAGGATGCTGATAAGATTAACTGTGCACGTATGTTTAGGCTATATTGGGGAAAATATACCCACTCCTTTTTATCTAAAATTAATTTATTAACAGCACACAGAAATAACAAGGAAATAGAAGATTATTTGAGGGAAATTTGAAGCAGAATAATTTTATTTTGATATATGCGAGTAAATTGCTCACAGTGATTGTCTCAGTGTGGTTTGTCCAAATACATTCCCGATGTCTGAAAGACCAGATTCACGCACGGTGCATGAGCGCCTTGCCTGATAAACTGTAGCACTGTCGTTAGTACAGACAAGAGTCGTGAGGAGGCAGGCATAGAGCATGGCGTGGAAATTTGTGTAAATATTAAAAGAAAAGTTGCTGTAGAACCTGAGGAAGATCTTGCACGCGTCAATGTGCCAGGTTTTTTGCACTGATATCAGCAGGATTAGGAAGAGGCCACCKCTCCCTGTAAACCGTGCCTGGTTTTGCACAGAGGATAGGACTGTTTATGCAGTTTTTTCCCTCTTTTTGGTGGAAATAAACCAAGGATGTCTAGGCCAATTGTTTGAAGTCATTCTGGATTTGCATGCTACGGCTCCTAGTACACAAATGTGACTTGAATATGTTCCTCTAACAAGATTCACAGTCAAATTTCTTTTCTTCAAATGGTAACGTTTCATGGCCCATAATAACCACATTGCAATCTTTTGATGCGCCATTACTGGGCTACCTTGGGGTGATGCTCATGGAGTTTTCTTTTGCCCTTTCCACAACACAGATTTGGAGTCAACTAGGGGAGATTTTCTGTGAAATCCTCCCCAAAGTCTGATAATCCAGTGAGACCAAATGAATTTTGCTATTGGAAGACTTTTGGCAAAAGAATACTCTATAGCCAATGCCCCTGCCATGCACTGGATCTCAGAAAGCAGTTTCCCTCTGTGCTGGTTTATGTGAGGAAAAACCAGTCTGTCTCCTCCCTTTGTGCTGGCTTTCATTCCCATTCGCTGTGCAGGAAGTTTTTTGCAGAAGAACATAACGAGGCTCCACAGGCTTCCTCTTGGCTTTCTCACCGCTCTCTAGATTCAATTTTTGAGGGGAAAAACAGTAAAATAGTCCTGTGTGGTGCGCTGCACAGAACTGTGCACATAACCGTGTAGCGAGATGTGCCCTGTTGCTTTAGCTGCCCTGACAGCAGCGAGCGCCGCAGCGGAAGGCGCCACGTTCACACGAGCTCCGCGGTGCAGCACGGAGCATGGAGCCATCCCGGGGGCACCCCGGGAATCASCGTCCTTGCCAGGGGTTGAGGAGCCAGTCCCATGACACAGGGACTTGGGGAGAAACGGGGGGTCTGCAAGTTGAGACTGTGCAGGTAGGTGCCTCCCTGGGAGGAGGGCGCTCGCTCCGCGTCCAATTCATCCGTCTCGGTGCTTGTAACTCCTGGTTTGTGTGTCATCTTCCATTCTGTGCCACTTTTGCAGAAATGGACAGCCCAGGCACTGCTAACATTCCCTTAAAGAAATGGAATTGCACCGTGCATACATTCCTTGTCTGTCAGAAGTGCTGTCCAAAGTATTAAGCATTTATATATCCCTCTTCTTCGTGCTGTAGTTGAAAGACTCCGTCATATCTGAGGGTTGTAACTCCATAGCTCCCTTTCATTGTCGATACACTGYCATGACGACTTGTCTGCATAGTAAATAATCACAATTAAAAATGAACAACCCGGTGGCGTGATGGGCTGCTGAGCCAAGAAAGAGACCAAGCTTGTGGTGAGGAGAGTAGCAGCCTCGGAGCAGATGCGTGGCCGACGGCCTTCATACCTCAACTGCGTCAGTGCCCATCAGCGAAAGCAAAACACGTTATTCTGTACTGATTTTTTCAACTTTATTCATCAATAAGACCAATATTTCTCATATTTAACTTAAGTATGAAAAAGTGGGTGTTTTATTTTTTGTTCCTTTTCCTTAAAAAAAAAAAAAAAGAAAAAAAAAGAAAAAAAAAAAAGCAAGCTGGATACACGTAGCGTTGGATCAAGGCACATACAAGACTGGCCAAAGGGCGTCCAAAGCACTTTGGTTTCTAGGTGAAGAAACAAATGATTATGGCAACAAAGTGGCTTGGGGTTTAAACAAGAAGTAGCTCATAGTTCAGTAGGAAGCCAGAAAGAAACGTTTAACCTTACAGATTTATTTCTGGAAAATTGTGACAGTAATGGGCAGTATTCCTGACTGTAATGACAGCATTTTTAATAAGCATCTGTGTACTGCATTCAAGTACGTGTGTCTTAAAATACTGCTGTATTTCCACAGCTAGAATTTGTACCAATTACCTTTGGGACTAAATTCTCTTGGGATCTTGCTTGTATGGCCTGTCCCTGTCCTCGTTTTTTTTTTTCCCCTATGTGTTTGCAAAGCTTCTGCTGTTCCCAGCTCTTTCTGAGTGTTTTCTTTGTTAGTCCTCCTGCCCTCGTCTCCCAAAGGCCTGGATCATCCAGCACTGTTTGCTCTACAATAAGCAGACAACTGGGTTGGGTAACCAGAAATCTCACCCTAAACTGCATCTACCCTCTAAGTTTGTGGGAACCTAGAGTGTTTCTGGTTTCTTTTTTCACTCATCAGTATCTTGTCTCATGCATAAAACTGGCTTGATGATTATCTTTCAAATTGGACCTCACTACTGTAGAATGGATATATCCAGACAGCTGATATTGCCCATTACTACACGCGCTTTTGTTTATTGAATATTGTGGTTTACAGATTTAATAGACCCAACATTGTAGTCTGCGAGTTTTTGCAACCACTTCTTCATCTTCTTGGTTTGCCAGGTTTAACGTTGTTTTATTGATACCAAAGTGAAAAATGGCCTGTGCTTACACTTACAAGGATCTCAGATGAATGTTCTGACTGCGCAACACGGCAAGAAAATTCACTTTCACAGTCAACAAGTCATCGTACTCAGTAGAACACAAAAGTTAAATGGTCTGTAACTTCAATATTAGCAAGGAAAATACAGTACAAATTACTAAAAAATACTAAAATATAGAATTGTGGTCAGGTATCCCCACTACATTAATCGCAGCAGTAGCCTGAAATTTGAAACTTTTAATAAAAAGTTCTTAAATATAAATTATATGGCAAATGTACAGTACATTGCTTTGTCAGTTCTCTTAATCCAGTGTTTTGCAGTAGAACAGCAACCCTTAAAGTCAGTCTTTTCTCGTTTAAAAAACCCAAATCAGTCTTTCATTTCCTTCAGTATCATGAGTGTGAATGATCTGAATCTGGAATACCACTGTCCCTGTAGCTCCTGTTACTACTGCTTTCACTGTGGCTGTTCTTGTACAGATTCATTCCGTTAGGCGGGAATATGGTGTGTATTACAAACTCCTCCTTGGACACCTGGTCGCTGTTGATCGGTATCATCTGAAAAGAAGTCTCCCTGATTTCGAGGATGGAGTTGTCCTTCTTGGTTCCCGCTTCGGCGTAGTCGTCCTTTCTCCTGCGGCCCTTGCTGTAGGCACAGTTCCGCGAGAAGAGGGCTCCGTTGCGGTGAACGTACCAGCAGAGCAGCGCCAGCAGCGCCAGGGCCACCAGGGCCACCGCGCCGCCTATGATGGCGGCCAGGGGTAAGCTCGAGTTCTTGTACGGCTCTTTCTCTTGCTCTCGGTTCAGCGTGGTCGTGGGGTTGTACATTTTAAGGGGCGCTGTTTCGGTCTCGATGCACTCGGGGGTTTCGTCTGCCAGGTAGGTGTTACTGGTCTCCATCGGGACCATACAGACCCGGTAGGGCGATTCGGGCTCCAGAGCGGTGAGCAGGTAGTCACTTCGGTCCCCTGTGACTATGGTTTCAGTTATAGATCCAAAGGCAGGGCTGTGACCCATCTTGAGCCAGCTCAGCCTTAGCGCCGTCATGGGTAGTGCAACTTTCCAGGAGATGTGGATAGTCTCCGTGCTTACAGATTTCACAAAGATCGTGATGACTTTGCGCACTGGGCTCGTGGTGGTTCTGTAGTTCTTATTCAGATTGGGAGTTTTTATGTCTGGTTGTTTGGTCACAGAAAGAGGCCAGTGTCCTTGGGCCGGATAGAGCGTGTTTGGTACYGCGGTAGTGATTTGGATGGTGCTTATGACACCCTCGTCCTTACAATCAAACAGTTCAGCGTTGAGGTCTTTGATAGCCATTCCACGTACTTTTTCTGGTGCCTGACACATCAGTCCACGTACGTTAACCTTCACAGGCAGTGACTGCAGCCAGTCGCGAACCCATTTCATTTTGCACCCGCAGTGCCACGGGTTGTTGCGAAGAAACAACTGGGTGATGTTGTCCAGATCGTCAAAGACACCCTGAGGTAAATTGCTAAGGTTGTTGTTGGACATATCTAGTCGATACAATTGCCTTAGGTAAGAGAAGGCATTGGGTGGCACGCGATTTATGTGGTTTTCTTGCAGATAAAGCTTTCTTAGATTTGTTCCGGGTAARTTGACCGGTGCGGCTGTAAGGGAATTGCGAACCAATGACAGTTCCGTAAGATTGACTAAATTCATGAAGACTTTGTCTCCTAATCCATGATTATTTAGAAGATTTCCATCTAAAACGAGGCGTTTTAGATTGGTGAGGTCTTGAAGGGACAGCTCTGAAATTGTGGAAATGCGATTATCATCGAGGCGTAGCTCTTCTATGGTTTTAGGCAAACCCCAGGGGATGGTGCTAAGGTGATTGCGAGAGAGAAAAAGCAGTCGGAGATACGTGTTGTCCCGGAAAGCTCCGTCTTCGATGCTSACAGCAGAAACGGAATTATCATCCAAATGCAGTTCTTCCAAATAAGGAATTTTGGAAAGTGAATCGTAAGTAATGGTCCTTATATTGTTTTCCTGCAAGTGCAGTTCTTTGACATACTTAGGGAGGTTGGTAGGGAATTCATCTAGGCTGTTGTGGTATAAATATATTCTTTCCACCCTAAGCAAGTTCTTCAGTTCTGAAGGAATCCCAGCATTATTTATTTGATTGTTCTGAAGGAAGAGGGTAGTAGCATCCTCTGGGATTCCTGTAGGAATAGATGTCAAATCGCGATCATTACAATATATGAAACCCACATCACAGCGACAAACTGAAGGGCACGGTTTGGCACTGACAGAATAAGGTGCCATGTCAAGTAACAGCCCTATTTTAGTCCAAATTAGGAAGATGTTCCAGGTTACACTAATCATGGTCAGGAATGACGAGATTTGTATACAGTTCTGATCTTCAACAATCTAAAAAACCAAACAAACAAAATTATCCAAATCATTATTCAAGAAACTGCAATGACAATTCAAAATTACAGAAGACATCCGAAACACACATATGAGGCTAAAATTCAGGCTCGTAAACACATCATGCTTTTTTTCTTACATCAGTAATTGTACTTCTGCCCGTACTAACTCAATTGGATTTACAGATTAYGCTGTAATTTGAAATATTTTTAAACAATATAATCGACTGTGTCTGACCTGAGAGTTGTTTTATTGAAGCAAGAAGACTGTTTCTAAAGAGCCCCCACATTTCATGTCTAGAGGCAATCTCTGTTCTCAGATGTTAATTTGAAATCGTGTTGTGGATTTTCTGAGAACGGAGCRAGTACAGGGCTAAAGTCCAAGTGAATCATTCTACATCTGAAATGTAAAGAGTAATTCCCAAGGCAGCCAACTATCTAAGTGAGCCATAAAACCCTTCCTGAGCTCCGAAGAGCTGTGGTAGGTTCAGAAGAGTCCTAAGGGTAATTAGTTACCAAGTAGAGAATACAAACAAAAGAAAACAGACCCGATAAAGCCTCTTACAGGTTTTGAGAGCTCAGTGGCTCCATTTCACAAATGCTGGAGCTTTCAGTCTCGTTTCTCAAACTGGAATGTTCAGGAAGGTGAAGGAAACAATTGGCAGCTTCAAAGTTGGCATCTCTGTTAGAGCTACGGCTTTCTAGCTGACTGCATGGGATACTTCATTACATGCTGAAATTCCTGCTTAAATATTTGTCATTCTCAAAAGTCTTCTTACTAAGCAGTACACTAATAAGAGATTATTTGACAGGTTTAAYCACACTTTCACATTTTCAGACTGTGCAAGGTAGAATAACAAGAATTAACTCCTGAGACTGAAATTAGACTGTGCTTGGGTTGTGTGTTTGTACATTCAGCTCAAGTAATTAGCATTTTTATAGCTTTTAGGACAACATAATTCAATTACTATCGTAATTACGGCTGTGAGAACTTCTGTACGATGACCTATACGTTACGCGATGTTACGACCTTCTCTCTYGTGGGTTCACTTATTAATTGAACTTCATTCTCTGAGGCATGAAAAGGAAAATAAATTAATATTGATCCTACCGTATTTAAAGGTACGAGTAAGTTTTGTGCTTGAGGATATCCAGTAAGTGAAATTTCTTTTCCTGCGAGTCACTTTYGTGTGGGTTACTCCATGCAGTTGTGTTTTCTCAACTCTGTTTACTCAAAGGATCCTCCCTGGTGCAGGTTTGTCTCCAGCCTCCTGGCACTGTGTTCAATGAACATTCCAGCCAAGATTTATCATGGTCCATAAGCACAATAGGCCGTGGAGCAGAAAAGCTTCAGCTTCCTCTCCCTGGGCCGCAATGAGGCTTCTATTTTTGTCTTCATATAAGGTCTGTGAATGAAGAGCCCCTTTTGTTTGGTTTAATGCTTTTAACAGGAATAACTTTCTTTGTACTTCTCACAAACTCTCCTCTGTAGTGTGGTAGTCACAGGTGGTAATTTCAGCTCCACATGATGGAAACTACTCATTATGCTGAGGCTTGAATGACGGTAGCCTCTTCAGGAGATCAGGGACAGGTTGCTTTTTCTGTCCAAAATTATCCAAGGATAAAGTTTGTACAATAGCTACATCCTGATATATCCACACCTCCTTAAAAGAACCGTTTTCCAACTTTCTCTTTTTGCTACTTCTTTGGGATTTGTAAAGCAGAAAGAATTTCCTCCTTGCAAAGGCATGCAAGTTAASTTAGCATGCAAGTTACTGTAGAAAAGTTTTTAAGATTCAGGTGGTTTTCTTCATAAGAAGCACAGGTATTATTCCCAAGGAAGCTCTGCTTCTTAAGCTTTCCTTGAATTGTGATTTTCCTGTGAAAGTAAAAAACAAAAAAATGCAATTAATACCTGGTGGACATGAGTGCTCACTCTGCGTTGCATCCTTATATAAACTGAGCTATGCTTACTCTATATAATTAGCACTTTTTTTTTTTTTCTCCAAGTTATGGTAATTCAGCAAAATAGAGCTATTCACAAGTGCATGTTATGCTGCCTAGTCTCATGTTGTTGCCCTTTTGCTACCTTTCCCTTTCTCCTGGGGGAAAGTAAAGTTATCCTCTAGCAATAGACAGAGGGAAACTGTTGGGAAACTTRGTTGCCTGCCCCCTCATTGATAAGGGCAGCCCAGCCTCCCCCGACCAGCTTGCCTTTAATTTTGGTCAACTGAGAGAGACAAAGATCCGTGTGTGGGTGGGTTTTGTCTGTGACAATGCTCTCCACAGGCCCAGCTGCTTCCACTTTTGGGCTGTTTTATCTGAAACGTGGCACAGTGGAATCAGTATTTAGATTGGTATTGTCTTAATCTGATTGCTCTGATTTTGAAAAAAGAAAAATATCCCAGTCTTTTTTAATAATACAGAATTACTGGCTTGTTTTTAAAATGTGTATTTGAACTTAGAATACTTGATATCACTATTGCAAAGAGGCATCCAATGTGGTACCAAGTATTTGTTCCTTAAGAGCACGTGGGTTGTATCAGTCTGAAACAGAAATGGTTGTACCTGAAATAAAGAAGCCTTAACATTTGTTTCTTCCTATCATGATTGTGYGTAGTCCAATAAACTCAACATGGTGCACAGAATTAAAATGCTGTGAAGAAATTACATATTCATTTGTACTTGTGTAGCTACTACAATATGAGCATAGCTAGGGAGTTGTTCCTGGTCCATCATGAAGTACTGGACTTAAACGCAGTCTCTGTTTTAAAATARTCTTCTGCTATTTCAAGCGAGCAGCATAAAAGTCCTGGTTTGGTAGATCTGTAATATTCCTACAGCAACAGGGACGATACAAAACTGGCACAAAATTATTGTGACATTAGTGCAAATTACTTTTTTTTTTTTTTAAAAAAAGGTGACCAAAAAAGGGGGAAAAAAAAAAGTCCCATTACTGAAGTGTTTGTGGAAAGAAAAGTCCAGAATCTGCTCCTAAAACTTGGAAATGAACATTTAAGAAGAGGTATCTCCTTGGAACTTGTATGAAGCTGCGAAGGAGGATATTTTCTGGAACACGTTGTGGAGTGGGAATATAAATTGGCTGTTAAATAGGCCTTTGAAGGCTACACTAACTTTTAAGAATTTATTTAAAAGAATCCATTAAACTACTGTTCTTCAGAACTTGGAAAGCTTTTTAGAAGCAGGCTGTAAAAAGAAATATGTTGTACTAAGCAAAACAGCAGCTCTCAGACGCATACATCTTACACTCGAGAAATCAAGTGCGTTTGTTTTACTTTTTTAGATTATCAACTGTTTCCTCTTTACTCCATTTTATAGGCAGCCCTTCATTTATTGCCAGTATTGTATTAGTGGAAAGGTAGGATTAAAATGAAAGCACTAAAGCTCATTAAGTTCCTGGATTTTTTTTTTTAATCCCTTCTCTCAAAATTATGTGAAAACAAGGCAGAAAAATAAAAGCAAGTCTCTTTGGAGAAGATGACACTGTTTCAAAAATGTGGATTAAGAGCGTACCCCCCACTCTCTTTTCTAAAAAAAGAATAGTTTTCTTGAAGTTTTGATTGTTGGTATCGTGCACATTTTATCTGGGGCCATGGCTGGAAACAATGTTTTTGCATATCAAAGGCTGCAGTGATGTGTCCACAGAGGAGAAGGGAATCCTGCGGCCGTGCTCCAGCTTTCCTCCTCTGGAGCTGCCTCTGCCTGTTCCCTGACACGGAGGCATTAGAGCTGATCCCGCGGGATGAAAAGAAAAGCCGCCCCCGCTGGGTCCAGACACTGTGTCCAGGTTTCCACAACATCGACCTGGGAAGCTTCATGGCTACGTGGTTTTGAAAGAGCCCGTTAATTCCGAGCGGAGCAGAAAAAGATGAGTTTCAGAAAGTAGCTGTTGAAGTCCATGTCTGAATGCAAAAGTGCCTTTTTTCATTAACAGCAGCAACATTTGAGCAGCTGAGCATCAGCTTTTGTGCTTATCTTTATTCCGAGTTGCCCATTTTCATGGAGTTTGCTGCATTGCACAGCTAAATTACTTTTCCTGGGACACTGTGCAAGCAAGCACGGCAGGCGGGGCACCACGCAGGACTTCTTATCACTGTAGCCTAGCTAAGCAGGGGCACGTTTTATTTTAACACGTTCAAGGGAATTTCACTATCCAAGAAAAATGAACTGCAGAAGACCTCAGTATTTAGGATAACATATGGGAGCCAGCTGTCCAGGGCACAAGCAGCAGCGACAAGGAGCGTCGGCGTGTTGGGAAAGCCAACGTTTTCCTGCACATGGTGCTAAAAAGATCTTTTCTTTCCAAGATATGATAACAAAATGAGGAAAATGAAGAGCTGCCGGAGTTTAGGCCCCGTAAAGCTTATTTGAATTTCTAATACATCTCTGCCTTCCCTGGCAGGAATTATGGCAGCGGTGAAAAACACTGGCTTGTATCTACCTATCACTCAAAGTAACAAGGGGAAGGGAGAGAAGTTGCCAGCTGATATTTCTGCGTTATGAATGACAAGAATAACTTTTGGAATTAAATTAATACTAGAAAATGTGCATTTCATAAGCCTCCCAACTGTGTTTAATCAGTGTACTCTTATTTGTTACAAAAATTAATTTTATTGCAGCATTACCTCCACATTTATTTAGAATGGGGAAGGCATCAGAAATTCAGCAGTGTGTTTACAAGCCTCTAACTACTGAGGTATCTACTGTATCCACTGCCCAGTGCAGTCCACAAAGGTCAGGGTTCCTCTTAAATCACTTCACCGAGCTTCCCCAGAAGGTCCCCAGCACTAATCCCCACTTAAAACAATGCGGATACTTTGTTTTCTTAAGTGTCCTACTGGGGGCCAGTGGGCAGTGAGAGCAGAGTGCTTTCTAAGCACCCGGGCTAGGGGCTGAAATTTCCACGCTCATCATATTTCAGGAAGGTGCCCCAAGCCTTTGTTCAGTGTTAGGCAAGCAGAAGGCCCTCGAACTGTCTCTCTAAGGGCTGAAGAATGTCGAGGGTTTTGTTGAAAGTGCCAGTGAGCTTTGCAGATCAGGGTGCATCTGTGCTGCTGATGCTGCAGGAATTTGGCTTTTTTTTTTCCCCCCCCCTCAGAACAAGATTTTATTTTGAGTTGGGGGACCCTCTTTTGATTATTTTTCTTTACTCTTTCCCTGGGTAGTAACCGAACATAATACTGCTTTTGCCTCTTGTAAATTTTATGTCTTTAAAACAAAAATGCAAAATCTGATGTGTTTCCTTGGCCTCCCTCACTGAATAACTCTCAATTAGAAATGGATTCTGAGTAAATGGTTAACTTTCTGCCTTTCTTGCACAGCATAAAAATGAGCAGAGTCAGTATTTGCTGTAGAAGGATGCAGAGGAACTGAGAATTCTTCAACTTGTTTTCTGAAGATTTTTTAAAAAATATTTTCTGCTTTTAAATTAYTAGGTTGAAAGGCATTTTATACTCTATACTCCGTTGTTTTGTTTGCTATTCTGAAGGTTGCACTTGGATTGCTTAAGCTTTAAAAAAATAAATAATAATAAGGCACTTTGGGGGTAGGGGGTGCAAGAGCTTCTTTTTTTAGTGCTCTCTGAGCGTAGCCAGCTCTGGCTTTGTCTTCTGAGAGTTGCTGATGAAGTAACTTGGTCCATGCTCAAAACAAACAAACAGGAAAAGAGAGAACAAATGCGGCCATTGTTTCAAGGTAAAATCCATCTTCCCTCTTGACAAATTTAGTGGAATTGTACCTGCTGCAGAGCTCCGAGCACCAAAGGTGACATGAAACAAAAGGTTAAGCGTATTTAAGAAAAACAAAACTCAGAAGTTGCACAAAGCTCCATAAGTCTTTTTTTCTATCTTGAAATACTTTGTTATCTTTTTCCTGATTACCAAATTTGCTGCTTGAAATACAAGACAGTACTTTGAGTGAAGCTGCAGAACTTACCTATCAGAATTTACTGCAAGTAATAATAGGAAGAACTTTGTGGTGATGCACACGCTTTTGAGGATGCCTGCCCTAAGCAGGTTCTTTTTGGGCACTTATTAARAATAAATGTTAAGCAATCGTGGATTAATTCTTCTGTGCCTTCCCGTGCTTTGAAGTGATAGTAAAAGCTGCAGAAATCCTAGCCATTAGCATGGATGTTTCCTGCTAGAAGGCGAGACAAAGATGGCCATCTCCCAACCGAAGCCACTTCAAATAATTGTAGTGCAAAGTTTGCAAACTCTGCCACTTGCTTTGATTAGTCACCGTTGCCTACACAGGATTTTTCAGCTTTAAGGTCTGGGTTACAAAGGGGAGATGAGAAAGAGAAACAAGGCAGAAACACATCTTGCTTTCTGTTCTTGCTGTGAAATGGGTAAGCTTTATTTTTGCAGATTAAAGCTTGCTGCGGGTTTACTACRGAGTTTTTGCCCACTGGGGGGTGGTACACGCTGCAAAAACGGTGCTTTTAGGAGCCACAAGTCAGATGTTTCTGCTGCTGTCCAGTTTTCTCTGCTTTAATTACAACAAAGTCTCCCGTTGAGAAAAACAGAGGCGGCCTCCGAAGGGGGAGGAAAAAAATAATCACTCTTTCAGCGAGTTTACGGAATCTGATTTCCCATGCTGAGTTTATTAACCACGCTATTTATCTGGTCACTCGCCAATTAAAGAAAGTGATATGAATGCATGAAAAAAAAAAAAAGGACAGGGAGAACTTGGGTATTAAATATATGCTGATGAACCCCTGTTCATCGCAGTTTCTGGGATGCAAGGAGCACAGAATGGAGGGAAAAAATACGGACTGAAGGGAAAAATAGAAAAGCCTGATAGCAGGATTAGAATAATTAGAA